ACATTGTACATCATCTCAGAAATATAGAGACATACCGAGTACGTTAAGTACTTTAAGTACATTAAGAACTGCATTCAATGTACATTCAATTTATATATATATATATATATATATATATATATATATATATATATATATATATATATATAAACCAAATTACCAAACATCAGTATTATTTAGTCCTCTTTTCTTTTCAAAAACATGCATTCCAATTTTCGAATAAAGTGTTATATATTTTTGGATCAAAATTCTGGATAGACAGTACAAAGTTCCTGTTCGTGCTGTTGTTTTCATCAAGTACATTTGACCGTTTCATTCAAGGATCAATTTGATTTTTTGTGATAGGCCAGATTCCCTTGCTTACATCTTAGTATTCTTTGGAAAGGTGAAAGTTTAAAATAGTCCACTGTGACGTCATATATTATATACCGATTAATGAGAGCGATATATATATATATATATATATATATATATATATATAGAGAGAGAGAGAGAGAGAGAGAGAGACAAACAGACAGACAGACAGAGAGGCTGTCCATAAAGTTCTTGTGAACTTTAAAAGATTTATAACTTTATTTGTATTTGCGATAGAAATAATCTGTAAAAAATGTTATACAATTTTAATGTACCTAGTTTTAAGTATAGTTTTTGAATAATTCTTTACCAGAAAATTTGCAACAATTTTTAGATAAGTAAAAAAATATTTTCTTTATTCCAGAATCAATTGAGGATCCATGGCTTCAACTGAGGAAAAAGTAAACTGTGTCCTTTGGTTGGCTGAACTGAAATCTACTATCGCTGTACAATGAAAGTTTAGAATTGAATACAATAAAGAACCACATCATAGGAACACAACTGATTAATGGATGAAGAGATTTAAAGAGACAGGCTCCGTCCATAATAAGCCACGGTCTGAAAGGCCATGTATCAGCGACGAAAGTGTTGCATCCATAAACTTAAGTAAAATTTTAATAAAACCTTAAAAATATAGATTTACTTCTTTCTAATTCTTTTTACAAATTATTTCTATCGCAAATACAAATAACATTATTAAATTTTTAAAGTCCACACAAACTTTATGGCTGCCCTGTGTGTATATATATATATATATATATATATATATATATATATATATATATATATATATATATATATTGTGAAATAATTTCACAATAATTTTAATATATTTTCTGTTCATAAGTTATTTTTATAGATGAAAATAGTTAAGTTAATGCTCTGTTTATAATAAACATTATTAACAACATTTATAGCCTAACGTGCTATAGCATTTAAAAAAAGAAAGCGTCTGGTTAAAAACAGTAATTTGACCTTGCTAACCGGATGCTGCCTCTGTAGCTAAATGGTATAGCACGTCAGGCTATATGACGATTCCGTCTAGGAGACAGGCTCGATTCCTACCGCAGGGCAATATATTTTCTATGAAATTTCTCGCACATTTCAGGCCGGCAAATGTTGTTAATAACTGTCTATTATGAACACAGCATTTATTTAAATATTTGTATCTATAAGAATAACCTATAAACAGAAAATATATATAATTAATTTTTATTTGCCATATGTGTTTTGACAACATTGTGTTATTTATTATACGGAAATATTGGGGTGGTTTAAATTTAGCTATCAAATGTATGTTTTTTATATTCGTACGCAACGTGAATACCAGGCTTTTGAGACAGATATATAGATAAAAAGAAAGAAAGAAACAGAGAGAAAAAGAAAGAAAGAAAGAAAGAAAGAAAGAAAGAAAGAAAGAAAGAAAGAAACGGACTTGGATATAAATGAATATACCTATGTACATGAAGTCAATTATATAGATAGAGAGAAAGATGCATCAGGACTAAATAACATTGGTAGATAAAGAAAGATCAAATACGCGTGTTTCTTTTTATCCAGGTAGAAGCCATACAAGGACCATTTTTCAGATCGGCTTGGCTTATCGCTATTAAATAAATATTTCATTCTCTATGACAATTTCAGCAAGAACTATAGAAAAAAAATGTAAGTGTGGCAAAGTCATTTGCAACTGTGAGAACAATTGTTTATCTTGTTCTTCGGTGTAGTGTGCGAAAGAAGAGGAAGGGGCGGCTGAGTTCTTTCGAGGTAACAAGAAGATTGGAAAAGGGAAAAAGGGCGGAAGAAGTGAGGCAGAACGATCAACGAGAAACAATGATTTCGCTTAAGTCAATGGCGCATAAAATATCTCGTTGTTGCCTGATTCTTCATTGATGTCAATTAGAGACATTTTCTCTGTCGGTTGATTTATTTTGCCTTTCATTTTGTCTCTGGTTCAAATGAACTAACGATGTGAGATATCAGGACGAGGTAACGATGAAGATTCGACTCATACATATATATATATATATATATATATATATATTAACAAATGGACTAAGTGCGACAATTATTTTAATCTATTTTTGTTTATACGCTATTTTTATAGATACAAATATTTAAATAAATGCTCTGTTTATAATAAACAGTATTAACAACATTTACCGGCATGAATGTCCGTGAAATTTCAGAAGAAATATCTCCTCGTACAGGAATCGAACCTGTATCCTACATTGAACCGTTATAAAAGCCTGATGTGCTATAAGATTCAGCTACAAAGGAAGCCTCTGGTTAAAAGCAGTAATTAGACCTTGCTAAGCACTTCAGGTCATATAATGGTTCCGTGTAGTATACAGGTTTGATTCCTGTCGGAGGAGATATATTTTCCATATATATATATATATATATATATATATATATATATATATATATATATATATATATATATATATATATGATCAAATACAGTATAAAAGGTCGATATATTGTTAGGTTAAAACTGTTCAGTATCCATTATAGAGCGCGTAGAGAAGTAAATATGTATAACTCCCCTAGTAACATTTATATGTACAAAAATACTCTTAAAAATGAGAAACAGCAAGATGTAGAAACAACAAAATGGATATTATTTATTATCTGGTTGTTATCTGGTGTTGAAGACATGAGAGAAAGTAATACTGAGTAAAATTGGGAATTTTGGGTCAAATGTATGAATCAGAATCTGACAGAAGCATAGGATAAAGAATAAACAAAGTGTATGCAGTCTTTCTCGTATGTTTTTTTATAGATGCGTGTAATGAGTGACCAGATAAGTGTTTGGGATTTTCTTACCTTGAATTTTTGTTGAGTGCTAAAAGATAAATGTTACTATTGTGGCATGAAAAAGGAAAAAGAGATAAAATTTTTGTTGACGCACATATTAACAAACTGTCCGTGTGAACTGCTTGTCCAATAGGAAAAGTGGAATCAATTCTCATTGGTTTAGAAAGAGTGAATTAATGATAATTATGATTTTTATAATTATTTCATTTTAGTAGTTATGGTTGGCACGAAATTTCTTTAGAAATTTATTTCTATTGATATGTAAAAAATGTTTTAATATCTAAAGTATATTGTGTAATGTTGTGGCCAATGTACTTGGCTTCCAGATTTTGTTGTAATATTCTTCTTTTTGTTGCTTCTGATGGAGTGTCGTCTGCTTTACTGAATGTTTATTCATTCATCTTTTGTTTAGTTTTTAATTGCGAATTATCACACTTTTCAGTTTGTTTTAAGAATTGCTTATTGACATAAACCACTTTAATCCTATCGATAACAATATTATCTTTTTTTCTATTTTCTCGATGGTGAAGTACTCGTCCGTTTTCTTGATGACTTGGTATGGACCTATGTAGTTTAGACCCAAAGGTATTTTTATACCGTCGTTCCTATATATTTGCAGGTGTAAAGATCACTTAGTAGGTATATTTTTGTTTATTTTCCGTGTCGATGTAAAAGATAATTTTGACATTCTGTACGGTATGTCCTGTACAAATGTTGTTGCGGGTTAAATAACTGATTGTTTTCCCAATATTGACCAGGTAAGATTAGTGATGTACCAAAAACCATATCAGCTAGTCATCTTTTACAATGCGCCTGGTGTATAAGAGTACCAATCAGTTTTCTTTGCTCTCTTAGCCAGTGATACTTTTAGCTGCCTGAGGAAACGTTCCACCATCCTATTTGGGTGATAGGATGTTATTCTTATGTGCTTAGTCCCAACTAGGTAATTTAACCCTTTAAATGGAGTAGATTGAAACTGAGTTCCTCTGTCTGCTATGAGCATTAAAGGTACTCCAAATACTTATATCCAATCAGTAAGGATAATTCTGGCAATTGATGCAGCTGAAGTATCTGTCATGGCTATTTCGGTAGGCCATCGGATAATTCTATCTATGATAGGATATATATGTATCCCTGAGAACAAGGCAAAGGTCCGACAAATCGATATGCATATTAGTGAATCTTCCATCAGGTGTGTTGAATGTGCCTGCAGCTGATTTTGTGTATCTTATTTTTCTGACATGCTATACAGGGCTTTGTCCAATTTCTTATATCAACTGACGTGTTTGGCTAAACATTCAGTAATGAGCTTCACAGTTGCACCTTTGTTTGTATGAGAAAATTCATAGAAGTGTTGAAATATTTTTCGTCTCAAATTTGGTGGTATGTAGAGTCGTGGTTATGTTTATGAAATGTCTCTATAAAATTTGGTGTGACTGAATGGAAATGGTAACTCAGATAACTTTATCGATGTGCTTTGTTTGACTTATTCTACGGAGTCGTCTATAGTTTGCTCTTTTACAATTAATTCGTAGTTAAAAAAAAAACAAGAATCTAAAAATGTAACTGTTACAGTATGTCTGCCACTATGTTTTCTTGACCTGACACATGTTTGATGTTTGAAGAAAATTGGGAAATAAAATCCAGGTATCTAATTCCTCGTGAACGATAATTATCAGTGTGTGTACGCAATGCATAAATCAGTGGTTTCTGATATATAATGAAATCTCTGCCCTCAAGGAGATGCTGAAAATGCTTAATTGAAAGGTAGATTGCTAACAGTTCCCTTAGTTTGTTCCTTGCTTAGATTTGCAGAAAAGAAAGATATGGGCGTGGTTTCTCTTTCTGATACTTGTTGCATACTTGCACCTCCTGTAGTTGATGAAACATCCACCGTAAGGTTAAGTTTAATTTTATCATCATCCTTGATAAAAGCTTAGTGAGGTTCATTAATGGTGTCTTAGCATTGTTGAATGCTTCTAGTGTTTCGCCTTGCAATGTAATATTTTTGTTCTTGCTCGCAAATAAATTTCTCAAGTGTGAAAGTACAGTAGAACAATTTGGTACAAATCGCCTGTAATAATTTATAAGGCTTATAAATCTTCGCATAATAAAGTTGCGGGAAAATTTGGATTGCTTCTACATTATCTATCAACGGTAAAATATCTTCTTAGTCAATTTCATGGCCAAGGAAATTCAGTTTGAGGTCTCCAATAATACATTTGTGTGCAGCAATTCTTAGTCCCAAGTGTGAAAGTCTCTGAAATATTTATTCTAAATGCATTTTGTGACCTTCCATATCTTTGCTGACGATAAAAACGCCATCAATGTAGGCGCAAACAAAAGGTAAACATCTGAATAATTTTTCAATCAAACTTTGAAATTTTTAACTGCATTTCGCAATCCAAAAGGCATCCATACACTCATATAACCAAAACGTTGATAACAGAGGATTTATGGATATCCTTTTCAGACACTAGTACTTCATAAAAAGCCTTTACAATGTCTAACTTTGTGAAAATGCCAGAACGTTGAAGGCCGATGACAAAACCGTGTATATAGGAACGGGGTACCTGCCTGGTGTTGTGATATCATTGAAACTACTGACATCGCCACATGGACGGCAGTCGTGTTTGGTTTAGGAACCATGGGTAATGCGACTGACAATGCACCCTTTGATAGGCATATAATTCCCATCCGAAGCATTTGTTGAAACTTCACCTTGGTAATCTAGGACTTGTCATATTTCAATCGTCTTGGTGTAAAATGTACCAGTTGTCCTGTTGTTTTGATGTGGTGTTTATCACGGTGTTTGATACTTTTCGTGTACTAAAATGGCTGTGCTTTTGTCTTGTGGCAGGGAAGCGCTAATTTCAATCGAGAGCAAATTCCTCGCCCTCAGAGTTCAGTCAATTTGTCAACAAGATTGAGTAACCATGTTGAATGATGAGTTAAACTTAGCTAAGAAGTCTACTCCTAGTATGGGTTTTATAATATCTGCCTGGTGAAAACCCTGTGTCAATATACAGACATACACATGACGTAACTCATTTCAAACGCCTAGCTTACTAAAGAATACCACAATACAGACAAAGGAATTGTAACTACTACACAGGCACCACTTCTGTTCTTGATAAGGACTCCAGGAGTCGAAAGTACTTGAATAAAAATAAAATAAAAAAAGTACATTTAGGATAGTTTATCCACAACTCCGAGGACAATATTCGATACATCCGAAAATTGGAAAAATATTCGATACATCCTAAAATTGAAAAATATTCGATACATCCTAAAATTGAAAAATATTCGATACATCCGAAAATTGGAAAAATACAATAAATAATTAAACATAAAACCCTTGTCGGTCCTTTTAAATCGTGTTTGGTTTAATAATTGCTGTCTAAATATATATTATTCGTATATATATATATATATATATATATATATATATATATATATATATATATATGTGTGTGTGTGTGTGTGTGTGTCTGTGTGTGCGTGTGTATATGTGTTTGAGAGAGTGTATATATACATACATATATGCATATATATGTGTGTGTGTCTGAAAGAGAGTATATATACATACATGTATATATGTATAGATATGTGTGTGAGACAGTCAAAAGATAGAGAGTATATATATATATATATATATATATATATATATATATATATATATATATATATATATATATATAGGTTCAGGTAAATATATATTTATGACCTTGTATATATAAATCGATCAAAAGTACCACTTTGAACATTTATTTATCTAGCTGCTTCACAATCAGACACATAATCAATCATATTCTTTTTATATCAGGTAAAATATAATGCAGATCATTATTTATTTGTATATATGCATGTGTATATTTAGAAAGAGAAAGTAGGAAAATTACACTAAAGTAAGAAAGAGAATTGATGACATATTCCCTACATAGACGGTTGAATCTAAATACAGATACATACGCGCATATATATATATATATATATATATATATATATATATAGGAAAATGTACATAAAACTTGAGAGGGGAGTGGGAACTGAAGAATGATATTTGGCTGAAAACGTGTCTAGGAATAAATGTCTCTACTGGGAAAAAGACTACTGTTGATCAGATATAGCTATTAATAAAAGCTACATAAGGAACAACAGAATAATTCGACAATCATTCCCATTTTCTCTGGCTTCTTCCAAACAACTTTCCGCCTAACAATCATAAGATAATAATCGGCCGGACACGAGCTGATCACGTTACTTTGGCTATAGCGCCGTGCGTCCAAAACTTTTAATTCGAACAATTTCTCTGAGAATAACGTAAATACTTCGGGTCCATTTTCAATGAACTGATTCATTTTCAAAGGTCGGTGAATCAAAAAATGGTTACAGTTTAGGTGTTCAGTTCGCTGTGGAAATCGAAATAATTCCCATGATCGTTTTCACTATATAATAATTTGTACTACAAAATGCCAATTCCAGCAAGGGACCGATGTTTAGATATCCGAATGTATAGATAAAAAAAAACAAGATTTTAAATATTCCTTTTAAAAGTTCGGCCAATTGTGTGTTTATGATTTAATGGTTGTTAGGTAAATGGGTTTTACACATTATTTCTTCGTTCAACTCAATGCCGTTCTCCCTCAACAAAATGACTACTTTCTGATAAGATACCTTCAATTACAATGCAGCTGTAACTCATAACAAATACCTTTTCCGTCAGATAACTTGTACTTGTCTCATTAAAGTCCAAAATCATGCTACTTTATTTGAACAGTATATGAACTTTTATTAAGTAAAAAACGAAACTACGAAACAACAGATTCACATTATCTAATATGTTTCTAGGAGTCTCATTAGAAAATACTTTAAAATCCTAATGGTAATAGACTCGATAACGACAAATTAGCAGATCTCAAAAATGAGCACTATTTACATTATTCGGACTATTGTCCACATATTGTCTCACACTGCCTAAACGTTGTAATAAATATGGCGACAAAGATGAGGACAATAGTTCGAATAATGTAAATAGTGTACATAATAAGTCATCTAAGAATTATAGACAGAGACTCAAAAACGAACTTCACTCTGTTGCTAACTAACTTCAGTTATGTGTCATGCGTGATACACGCTTAGGTGATCATGTATCTTTTGATAAATGACTGACGAGGCAGATGTTTTTCTGCGGTAGACCAGTTGCCATCCAAGGTTATAGAACTGCTATTTAGCTGGGTGGGGGAGAAGAAGAGGATTCATCCCGTTATTCGACTGGATTTCGAGCTCGGGTCTCCGATTCCTCAATCCGAGCCGCTATCCATTACGCCACCTCTAAAATGAAATTACTCTCCTTTAGAAGACAAATTCTTGTCTTCTATCGTCATGGCTGGTATTAACCTCCAAGAGAGTAAGGCATGATGCTTTTTGGTCTAAAGTTTTCGTTGACATGAACTGGAAAATTATATTGAATCAATTACTAGGACTGCTGCTAGAAAAGTTTGTTTATTGTAATGTGTTAGACAATTTTTCTCACTGCAATCTAGCTTACACATTTATCAGTCCACCATTTGTTGATGCACCAAATATTGCTGGCACATCTTTTCTCCTGCTTCTGCTATATATCTAGAGGTTCTTGACAGAATTCAAAGAAGAATCTGCAACATCATCGGTCCTCACCTAGAATCTTGGCTTCAGTTACTTATCCACCATTGTAACATAGTTTTACATTCTCTGTAACAAAAATAAATTTTAGAAGCTCAACAAAAATATCTCAAGCCTCCTCAATGCACAGATTAATAAACTGATCATGGTTAACAACGCTGAGATCGGAACCCTCAAACTCCACAAAATTGTGGGTGAGTATTAACCTGGTCACTTATACGGAAACGTAAAAACACACAAACCTATATTTTCCACTACGTCCCATAATCTCACAAATCCAAAGTCCAGTATATCAATTAGGAAAAAACCGTAGACCAATTGATACTTCCATAATTACCCAATAAATATAGCATTTACTACACTAGAGACCTCCTCGTCATACAACAGTCTAACAAACCAAATAATGGCATTGTAGCCTCCCTAGACGTTGAAATGTCCCAATGTAGACGGTAATGTCCCAGTCAAAGAAACTATAGACATGTTGTACAGAACTTATAAAATCACTCCTCGGTCCAACCACCTAAAAATTAGACGAACTATTCTGCGAAAACATTTCTTCTACACAATACAAGTATCTTTTTATGACTACTATGGAAATATATACATAAACTGACTGCGTAGTGATGGGTTCGGTTCTTGAACCGACTTTATATAATTCCTCATGTGGAAAACAAAGTCTCCAGTAATTCCACTAATCCCCTCCCAATATACACAATCTATATCGACATATTCATAATTGCAAACAACTTAGCAGAAAAATTAAAAAAAAAACGATGCCAATAGCCATAATTTAAAAACCTCTCTTTACAAATCAACACTAGATAGAAACTCGTGTTTACTTAACTAAAAAAGTGAGTTTCCTCACATAAACAAAATAGCTGTTATAAAAAAAATCATATTTTTTATAAGGAACATAGCAACATTAAACAAACGCTAATCAACAATAATTTCCCCAACGACGTCGTCGACGAACAAATAAAATTAACCTTAACGAAATTTAGAAAAAAAATGACGCCAGACGCCTTCTTGGCGCAAACAAAAATAAATACATCATTTACTTATTCTATCGTTACGGAATGCACCTTAATTATAAACAAGATGAAAAAGCAATTAAAAACATAATTCACTGGTAATTATCACTCAATGATCCTAATAAACCCAT